TTGTAAAACTTATTCTGCTATATCTATTTCTTCTAGTTTATCTTTTTAAATAGTATGTAAATATTTAGAGTCTGAGTTTTTTAGATTTTCTGTTTCTTAGTTATTATTATCTATTTCAAAAAAAGTATTAAAATTATATTTTTTTAGATTATTTAGATTATCCTGAATATTGTTATTAATTTCTAGATTATCTAAGATTTGGATTACTTTATCAAAGAATTCATTTGTTGATTAGTAAATTCATTTAGACTTTGAGTAGGTTAAATAGATTAGTAAAAAAGTAAAAAATATAGAAAAGTATAGTATGAGGAAAAAGTATTATCAAAAGTTAAATTAACTTGAAGATAGTTTTCAGAGATAGAAAGATTTTTATTTTGTGAGGCAGTAGTAGAGATAAACTAGTTTATAAGATTAGTTAATGCTATTCAAGAATTAATATTAAAATTAAAGTATTGTTAGTTAAAAATATTAGTAAAAGAAGTAGAGAGAAATTGAAAAGTAGATATATATATAAGAGATTCAAGAGAGATATTAGTTAAAGGTAAAGTAGAAGTTTATTATCTATTTTGTAAAAGAAATTAAATTTGAATAGTATCTTTATTATATAAAGTTAAAGAAGCTAAAAATTAAGTTTCAGAAGTTGTAGCTTAGTCTAGATTTATTGAATATTTATTAACTATAAAGCTATATTCAAAGTAGTTAAAACTACTAGTATATTTATTAGAGATAGATAAACTAAGATTTTCTAAAACTTCTACTAAGGTTCTATTTAAATAAAGATTAAGAGTAGTAGAACTAGTTTAAAATTCAATATAAAGGTTAAAGACTATAACTTTAAAGCTAAGAGGAAAATATGATTATAGAATATATTAGATATATCTAGTTAAAAAAGTTTTGACAATATTTTTAAAGTTTTCTATAGAGATATTATATTAGCAATTAAATATAATATCATATGCTGTTGCTCTGGCTTTAGTATAGATAGAGCTATTAGTTAATTCTATATACACAGTTATAGTTTGTTAAAAATAGGATTTAGCATAGTATATTTGTCTATACTAATTCCAAAAGTTATAGTATTATTACAAGTGTTAGCTTTCTTATTACAATACAAGTAACATAAGACATGAAAGAGGAGCTCTCAATAGTGTTCAAGTAGAATATTATTTCACTGTAGCAGTTTGTTACAAAGTTAATGAAAAAGCAAGGATTATATTTTATTTCAGATACAATATTGATAATACAAGACTATTTATTTGTTTCTATGCTAAGAGAATTCTAATATTAAGGAGATTGCAGAGGTTAAAATCTAAACTGAGGTAAAGGGAAAAGGGTGAGTTTATATAGCTTTTATATTGATAGTAAGAATTGTAAAAATTGTAAAAATTGTAAAAATTGTAAAAATTATAAAAATTATAAAAATTATAAAAATTGTAAAAATTGTAAAAATTGTAAAAATTGTAACTTATACTAAAGTTATTCCTAAGGTAACTCAAGAACTACAAACATAATTTATAGCTTGTTTAGAAAGTCTAATTGATCTAAATCTAATAGTACTACTTAAATCTCTATTAAGCTATTTGTAAAAGCGATATTAAATAAAGTATATTTAAGAAATCAACTAATTATAATAATTAAATACTAATAATAAAATAATAGATAAAACTTATTTTATAACATTTTCATTTCCTTTAAAAATAAGTACTATGAATTTTAACTGATTATATAAGTTTCAGAAAATCTTTATTACTTAATGCTTCTAAGTTATTAAAAATGATTTTAGTAGTAGAGCAGAGTTTATTTAATCTATATATCTAAAAAATTTTATAAACTCTTTTAGCATATTTCTATACCATATTAGCTCGTCCAGATCCTAAGAATTTTTGTAAAGTCACCTCAACCTATAGGTTGAAATTAAAAAAAAAAAAAAAAAAAAAAGAATTTCTGTAAAGTATTCTGAGTATCTCTTATTCTTTGTCTATTATCTGCTATACTTTCTTGTAACTATCCCAAGTAGTAGTATGCTTCTAAAATCTTAATAGATTGATCTTTTTGTTTTTCTCGATTTTCTATCTTTAATTAAAAGATAATTTCTTTAAGCTTTTCTTCTCAAGTTAATTCAACTAAAGGATTTATTCGAGTAAAAACTTCAGTTTTCTCTATCATCAAATCATCGATGAGTTTAGTGAGAGTATTGTTAAAAAGTATTAAATGTTCTGGTTCTTGAGAAAGTAATTCATTAGAGATTTTTTCATTTGAATCTTCTTGCTATAATAGAATAGTTGTTTCTTTTGTTTCTAGGAGTTCATCTAGATTTATACTAGAGAAGAGACTTTTAAATTCTTCTGATTTATTTTCTATCATTTGGTTTAGGATTTTTGTTTCTATTAGTATTGTTATTGTTAAGAAAATATTAGTTTCATTTATTATAAAAACTTCATTTTCTGTAATAACTAAGCTATAGTTTGTTGTGAGAGGATCTTGATTCCAAATATTTAGGAATTCATTAAGAGTATTTAGAGTTTGGAGTTGTAATTGTTGAGTGTTTTGGATATCTATCTTTAGAGTATTAAATAAAAAATAACTATTTTAAGAATTTCTAATTTAGAAAAATTTGTTAGAGTAAGGTCTATTTTTATAAGTTTTGATATATTATGAGAGGTAAATCCAAAATATTTCATGAATTTAGCATATAGATTCTACTGAGTTTTAAAAAATTTTCTCTGAAAATCTTATTTGTCTATTACTATTACTAGTTGCTAATTTTGTTTTTTGTAATATCTAGCTAATCTGTTACTATTATAATATTTCTATAATATTTTTCATTCTAAGTTTTGAAGTTTATAAGCTTTGTTATTTAGTTTTGATTGTACTATAAAGGGTCTACTTCTTTTATCTTCAAATTTAGCTGATTTGGAATTTTTTAAGTCTTTTTTTTTGTACTCAAACTTTGTTTTCAATTTCGAATTCTTCTTTCTGAATATTTATATCAAATCTGACTTTCTGTTTCTTTTAAAATTTTTCTGTATTTCTACAAGCTTCACTATGTTAATAGAGAAGTTCATCTATTAACTCAAATACTCATTATAATATACTATCCTCTAAAGTTATTTCTTTGTCTGCATCTATATTTTCTACAGAGATAAGAGCTTTAATTAGCATTTTAGCCTGTTGTCTATAGGTCAATTCAAAGAGAGTATATCCTGTAGTAAAATGTCTTTTTGTCCTATATGCAAATAAGATAGTAGATATATATATATTCTAGTTTTCATTTTGTTCTTTCACTTTTGCAAGAAAGTTGCAAAGAGTTCTATTTAATCTTTCTACTATTCTATTCATCTAAGGATAGTAAAGAGAAGAAAATTTATATTTAATCAAAACTTTTTACAAAGTATTTTGACTATTTCACTAACAAAATTCTTTCTATTGTCTGAGAGTATTATTTGAGGTACTCTATGTCTACAAACAATATCTTCAAAAATAAATTTAATGAGAGTTTCTGTATCTGTATCTGATACTGCTTTAGCTTCTAGCCATCTTGTTAAATAGTTAGTAGCAACAATAATATAGCAATTATTTTACTTAGTTATTAGAAGAGATTCAACTAAGTTAATTCTAATTCTTTCAAAAGCTCATCCTATTTGAATAAGATGAAGAAGTTTTTTTCTTTTTGTTTTCTCTTGTTGTTAGCATACTTCATATGCTTAGACATAATTCTTAATATTCTTATATATTTGGTCTTAATAGTATAAGTTAGCTATTTTGTAATACATTGTATCTATTCCTAAATGTCTAGCTATTAGAGTACTATGTATCATGTAGAGGATAGGTTCTACTTCTATTTATCTAATCATTCAGATTAATTTAACTATGTTCTTTTAATTCTTTTTATATAATATTCTGTTTCTAACTTTATAAAATCTAGATTGTTTAATTAATATCTGTTTTTCAAAGTCTGTTAAGTCAAAGAAAAATTTATCTGTTTCTAAATATTCTAAGAGATTTTGGTAGTAGTCTAAATTCATTTCTTTAGAGTTGAAGGGTGATATATCTGAGTCTCTAATCTAGAAAATATATCAACATTTGAATATTTTTGTCCTAGTTTGTAAATCATAGTAAAGTGATAAGGTTGTAATTTAATTATCCATCTGCTTAATTATCATTTAGACTGAGAGAATTTTAACTATTAGAGAGCTGAATAGTTAGTGACTAAAGTAAAATAGTTTGTTCCAAAATATTTATAAAAGTGTTCTATTGCTTATACTATAGTAGTATATTTTAATTCTGTTGCTCCATAGTTAATTTCTTCTTTCTTAAGACTTTTACTTGTATAGGCAATAGGATGTTCTTTTCAATTATTTGCAACTTGACTTAAAGTTGCTTCAAATTTATTATAAGAAGTATCAGTGAAGAAGATAAATTCTGCTTTATAATTTGAATAGATTAGAATAGAGGCTGTAACTAATCTTTGTTTTAGTTCATTGAAAGCTTCTTGTTGTTAGTGATTTCATTTATATTTAGTGTCTAGATATAATAACTAATTTAGAAGTTGAGCTATAAAAAAAAATCTTTGTATAAATCTTCTATAATATCTAACAAGTTCAGTTAACTTTGTATATACTGAACTATATATTCTGAAAGGTTTTGTTTAATATAGAGTAAATTTGTTATATAAATTACTCTCTCTATACTAGACAGTTTAGTTTATATAGCTAACTAATAGAAATATATGCATGTAACCAAGACTGTAAAAAATTTATTTAATAAAATATATTCAATTTAATTATGCAATACACAGATTAATATATAAGATATATATATATAAATATATAAAAAATAAAATAAAATAAAAATAAAAACTATCCTAAAAAAAATTTTACTAAAAATAGTGATATAGGTTAGCTTGTTTGAGATTATTTATAATATTTAATTGAACCTGCTTATGAAGTTTTCTTAAAATTTTAATTTTTTCCTCAACTTCACCAAACTCTAGTCTTTATTCATATAAGAATTTTAGTGTTTAAGTTATATAATTTTTTGCATCTGTATAAATAATTTGTTTTTTGTTTAATAAGAGTTTCTTCTTCTCTATTACTTTCATTTTTGTCTTTACTTTCAATAATCTCTAAGATTTCTTTTTCAGTAAGTTTATCTTTAACTTCATTATCCTTAGTATGAATATATTCATATGTAGTAAAAAGGTCAAAGGAGTTATTAGTTAGTAAGTAGTCAATTAATTCTGAAAGGTTTGATTTATTATCTATATTTCTAAAATTTTAATTTTAATTTTTTTTTTTTTTTTTTTTTTTTTTTAATTAAGTATATATTTTATATTAAAACAGATCTTTAAAATCAATACTAATCATATCTATTTTAGTTAGATTCAATATATTCTTTAGAGTTTACTTGTAGAAGAATACTAGTTTTTTGCTAGTAATTTTTAATAGTATTTGATGATACTATAGACTATACTTCAGCTGAATTAATTATAGCATTATAAATATTATATCATACTGTTTTTTTTTTTTTTTTTTTTTTATCTTGAGTGATTTTACCTATCATTTATTCAAAGAAATATCAAAATGATATATAGATACAAATTATAAAAAGTCTTAAAACTAAACTATAACTATATCTCTCTTTTTACAATTCTGAATTCACTCAGCTACCCATTAGTGCTCAGATGCGATCTGCCACAGAAGCTAGTTTTTTCCCTGCAGTAACTCTTCTCGAAGAAAATATTATTCTTGGATCAACAAAGGTGACTTCAAGCCTTATTAAGATCCTAGCTCCCTTATAACCTAATTAATACTAAGCTATAAGTAGTTAATATCTAGTCTCAAGATAAAAAAAATAAAAATTGTTACTAGTCTAAAAGCACTAAGCTTACTAACAAAGAAAAACTTGCACCAAGTTGTAAAAACTTTGTTAGACAGTAACATAAAGAAAGAGACGGAATAAAAAAAAAACTAAAAAAGTAACTAAATACCCTATAACCTGAGTCAGACTTAAAAATTTTAAGTTGTACAACTTGTAACCTATCTCAAGAATTTCTCTTCCTAATGTACAATCCAATTTCAGAATTTAGGACCTGTAGTACTGAGGTTACATAATAGACTAAACAATAAACAAATTATTTATACAGATGCAAAAAATTATATAAC